GGAGAGGATGTGGATCTGATGCCGTGTGGGGGACTGCTAGTGGCGACAGAGATCTCGCCGGAGTAGGGCCAAACTTGTAATAACCCGATATTTTTAATCGGTATAAATTACGTTTAATTCTGATATAATAAGTGTTATCGGTTATTATTTTCGGAATTAAATTAAGTTCAGTCGGGATTACCGAAATTTATTTTCGACGTACCGTTTACGTTCGAAATAATTTTGGTAATTAAGCATTATGTTTAATTGAATAATTAAGCATAAAATCAAGTGATTAATGTTGTTTAATCACATTTAAGCATTTGAGCCGAAATGATATAAGTAGTTTCCCTAAATTCCTTCTAAGCCGTGAGTTTTAGAAATATGGTCCAATTAATCACATAATGGCCGTAAGTTTTCTTCCTCTTTGGGGAAACCAAGTTTCCCTCAAGCTTTGACATAGACGCGTGGCAAGAGTGGAGCATGATTAGTCATTCCTCAACTAGTTAGCTTGATGCCAAGTGTTAAGGGCCAAGAAGGCCACGGTTTCAATTCGTCACCTCATTATTTTCCCTAGTGTTTGGCTTAAGAATAAATAGAGGATTTTGGGGCGAAATTTCTCACCCTATCTTAAGCATTTTAGCCTTTTCTTCAGCAGTCGTATAGTTCAAACAAATTTCCTAAAAATTCCAAATAAACCGCACGGCAATTACACGGCGAGTGAAGGGTGACCGCACGGCAAGCCGAGTAAAGGAGACCACGCCTTATTTCCGATTTCGATCGTTCATTTAGAGAGGTAATCCCTTATTCCATTTATGTTCATGATGATAAGGTCAAATTGAGGTTAATGGTTCAGATTACATGCGAAAAGTTTGAGTAAAATCGTGCTAAAGTCCGAACATGTCTAAGTAAGGTTATCGCCGAACAATTTTCATTTTCTTTCGGCAACTCTCGAGCTATAAGCTTTTGAATGATCAGTTTAGTCTATTATAGGTTCAGTATGATCAGATTGCTGAGGCAAAACGAAGTATGGGCAATGAAATGGCCCCCAGCCGTCGCTAATGCCTATCGCGCGGCCTTGGGTGGCCGTGAGCCATGTCTTGTTGTTTTTAGTAGAATTCATGTTTTAGCCGTGTGATTGTACTTTAATTTGCCTCATGTTGATGACCTGGTCGAGTTGTTCAGTAGTGGTCAGTTAATAATTCAGTTCGGCCGAGAGACGGCACGTAGCCGTCGGCGGCGCACGGGCGTCCGTCACGGTCAGTCTTATATTCAGCGTGCATGACCAGAGTCTAAGTGATGAATTCAGTTATGGTAAATTCAGTTAAGATAATTCAGTCCAGATACTCGGTGAGTTGGGAAGAACTGAAGGCCGTTGGCCGCACCCTCGCACGTAGCGAGAGCGTGCGGAGGCGTGCCATGGCCGAGAGTAAAGCTTAGCAAGTGAGT